CAAGGTAACTGACAGTTATTGTTACTCCGAATTTAACATACAGAATAAACTTGTAAACAGTCTTCCAGCCCATTTCCTGCATCAGCCACCAATAGACAATAGATGGTGAAACACTAGGTTCAGAAAGCTCTGTAAACATTTGAAGATCACATTGGATTTTTGGTCTTTGTGTACTCACCAATCTTGGTTCGAGGCTGTTGTTGATTTAATGTCTAGGAGAGAGCTAGTAGAAGCTAACCGTAAGCATTAGCAACTGCACAACATGGCAAAAATTCTTCAGGCTTGAAGGCAAACGGAGTCAGTGGAAGAGTCGAGTTATAGTTAGCCAATCAGAGAAGAGTTGTCCAAATATCAGGAAACCACTCCAAATCTTGCCGTCTTCTGCTCCCAACTGTTCTGGCTAATTTCTACTTCCTGAAAAAGGAGCATCAGAGCTTTTTTTTCTCCACAGAGATCGATACACAAGGCATTAACTTATACTGGAGTTACCTTGTTCCACTCTGTTGCATCGTCCCGCCCACCAGACGAAGATAGTGCCCTGGTTGGTCCACAAAGCAGATAGAGTGCTGTGATTGTACCACCCTTGTGGACCAACCACATCGCTCTAGAGGATATTAACCCCTATAGAGAGCTGTGATTGGCCCACCAGAATGCTGCTAGGGTCTGCAGAGGTTCCAGTGGAGCATTCCTAGACAAAACTTTGCAAAGCAAGAATTTGATCTAGTTCACCAGGCTACTGTTATGCACTACTTACTCAAATCTCTTGTCTGATGTCCTACAAAAGCTGCAAGCAAACATTTTAAATCCACTAAACTTTTAGACTTTGTGACCTATCTTGACAAGCTTGGCATTAAGACCCCTGAGCTTGCTGTCACCCACCTGAAGATCAAACTGCTTTAAAGTAGCTTCCTGGGGTTTCCCCTTTCAGAAATGATGTTTGATTTTTCAGAAATCTATCGCTTATGTGCTTCAAATTTAAGGAAGTACCTCGGCTGGTGCAGCCTTGATGAACTTCTCACGGACAAGTAACTCTTTAAAATATAAAAATATGAAAACACAGCGTGAGAATAATACTTGTAAAACGTGTTTTAGCTCTGTTTGTCGACTACAGAAGCACAGTCATAAACAAGAAACGTGAAGTCGCCATCTTAAAAAAACGCAGGAGATTATTTGTGTGATATGCTTGTCAGCCACTAGATGGTGCCATCGGATAAGAGAAATATTCTGAGCAGATCCTTTAACACAAGCCAGAATACAAGCTCAACATCAAAGATGCAGCGTTTCATTAGTCTTTGAGACAGATGTTGCATCAATGCTGGCACAAGCTGGTAAATATGTGCAAATGCTGCTGGGGTCAAAACACATGACTTACTTCAGCTCAAGTCAGTGCAAGTCATTCTTTGATGCATGTGCTGTAAAGTCTAGCTCAGCATCATCAATGAAATGCCTTCTTGAGACTTTGGTTGTCTCCTGGCTGATGACAGCATGAATTGAATGAGCGAGAGAAGGAGTAGTTCTGCTCAGTCTGCTGCCCAGGCGTCCCAGAACAGTGGTAGAAAATGACTGTTTGTCCGGATGGATGGAAAAATAAAGACAATAAAACATGACAACAGTTTGTTTGTAACATTCCACAGACGGCCTGGAATCTAGTTACTGCAGAGAAATTGGTACAATCCATTTACATAGGTTGGACAACAACTGAATTAGTTGTTTTATTACTTATTATGGTCTGAAACCAGCATAATATAATATAATATAATATAATATAATATAATATAATATCATACTCGTTTTTTAAATGACAACTTCAGCCATGGAAGTTTTAGTTTGTAACTGTACCCTTATATCTTTTTAGCTAAACTCCTGAACCTGATTTTTTTCTTTCACTGGAACCTTCCTTTTGTCGCCTCAGACTAACAAATGCTTAAGTGCAACTGCCAGAGTTCTGACGAGAGTTCACACTTCTCCTATTTGGGAATCAGTTAACTGCCTCCCTCCAAAATCACCATCCAAACTTCAAAATTTCATTCAAACTCTTAAAGCTCCCAGAGATCATTGATCTATTTCATATTTAATATCTGATCTTTGCCAACAGAGTACTTCAATCTCAATTTCTAGAAAGGAGACTAGAATAGGAGTGCTTTTAATTCTCAGGCCTCTCTCGTGTGGTAGACACCTCGTCTACTTCTAGTCCAGGGGTGGGCAATTATTTTTTCCATGGGGCCACATGAGAAACAGAAAATATTGTGGAGGGCCGGGCCAAAAGGCTGAAGTCAATTATGCATAATATTAATGGTATTTCTTTATAAAAAGCAGTAAATACCATTGTTTTTTCAAGCTGGTAAGAGTAGACTATATGTTAAAAATGAGCAACAAGGAAAAAGTGAGGTTGGCTTACAAAAATGTGATTTATTCAAATTTCCCAAGGCAATGGTAAACAAAGTGAGCATTTGGTTTTTGTTAAACATTTGTGACTTATATTAGTTAACAGTTTCAATCACAATCACTCCAAAACACATTTTGAGTTTCAAATATTGTTGGAAAGAGGTTCTTAGCATTCTACAGACACAGTATTGTCTGTAAAATAAAATCACTGAACTGTGATCTTGAGAAAGAGGTATAAAAAAAAGTGTCCCTGTTCACTGCTAGTTGCCTACATTTTTGGTCCAAACACCTTATTTTGTGTTTTTAAGCAATTTTTTTTCTTATTCAGTGAGAGAAATCTAGTCTCTGCTGGGCTTTAACGAGTGCATCAAAGTCAGGTTGAATGTCTGAGGTGGAGATGCGAAGCACAGCTGACAAATGATTATCAGTTAGAGAGGATCTATACCTGGATTTTGTAAACTTCCTCATTGATAATGTTTGTTCACAAATGTAGGTAGAGCCGAAGAGAACCAACATCTTCTGAGCATGTCTCCTCAGGTTTGGAAATTTCTCCTCCTTAAGAGAAGAGTAGAAATCCTGCAGAGATCCTGACTTAAAGTGCTCTGCCAGTACTGCATCAGACTGCAGGTCAATGAGTTCCAGCTGCACGTCACTGGGTGCATTATCCACACTGCAGGTAAAGGGAGAGGAAATCGTGCATTTCATCCTCGATTGTTCTGAGATCTTCAAAACGACTTGAAAACTCACCATGTAATGCTCCTAACATGGATGAGTACCTGCTGAGGTGATCAGCTGATGGTGTGACTTCGTTCAGGGTTTGCATGTGAGTGAGAGTGTTGCTCTCCAGTTGACTTGAAAGAAACTGCAGCGTTCTCACGAAAGCCTTCACGAGGCTGTGCATTTCATGAACAAAAAGGCCCTTGCCTTGCAGTTTGGTGTTCAGTTCATTCATCAGTGCAGTCACATCAACAGCAAATGCAAAATCTGCCATCCAATCCTCATCTGAGAGCTCTGGAATGTCTTTGCCTTTCCTCTCGCCAAACTCTCGAATCTCTGCTTTCAAGTCCCAAACCCTCGTCAGCACTTTCCCCAGGCTGAGCCATCTGACAGCTGTGTGGAGTCCTCCAAAAGAGCCACAAACTGTCTGTGATTCATCGCCCGCGCCCTGATGAAGTTCATTATTTTAGTAACAACATCAGTAACATGGTTGATTTTTACCACTGACTTGTACAACACATGTTGGTGTATAATACAATGCAAAAACACCAAATTTTGATCTGCATCGATTTCTGTCACTTTATCTTGCATGCGTTTCAAAAGTCCGACATTTTTCCCTGTAAGATTTGGACAACCGCCTGTTGTGACACCTGACAGTCTCTCCCATTTCAATCCCAGTGTCCATGCACGCATTTACCTCTGTAGAAAGATCACTCCCTGTCGTTGTCCCTTTCATCGACCGCATTGCTGCCAGCTCCTCTGTGAGCTTGAAGTCCGTTATCCCCCGGACAAATACGAGCAGCTGGGCTGTGTCGCGGACATCACAGCTCTCGTCTAAGGCCAATGAGAAAAAGTCAAAATTTGCCACTTCACGTTGCAGCTTCACGTTGCAGCTTAAGCTTAAAGTGCATGTCAAGTGTGCCTCAGAGTCTTACCCCACCCACGTATCAATTTTGAAAACTGCAACATTAGTAGGCGTTGCCTGGAGGACCGAGAGGGCGGAGCCGCGGCAGTGACGAAGAGACGGCTAACTAGACGAAGCTAGCTCCCTTCACTCTGAGCAGTCATTAGAAGTGGAGGACGTTTCTCCCCCTCCTTACCCAGACACTCGAGAAAAAAGGGACCAAGTCTATTTGGAGGAGACAAGCGGACATGAGCCTTATTGTTTTGAGCTTGTGAGTTGCCTGAAATTACTGGAACCGACCCAACAGACCCATCTCTGAACGTAAGTAGCCGTTAGCCATAGCATTGGATTAGCTGCAGGGTTTGTCTCCATGGCCCTAAAAAGCTAGTATTCAGCATGTTTTAGAGATTTATCTGCATCAACACACCTGGTTTTAATCAGCAACAAACAGCTGAGCTGCTTAACAGCTTATCTAACCTGTTAAAGCAGGAAAATCCACTGAAACGTGCTGGATAGCAGCTCTCCAGGAGATCTGGGCTCAAGCTACAGTCTGCTGCATAAAGTTATGAAAATATCCCATGAGAAAATTATTCTGTAATGTGTTCAGCCCATTAAAACTGCCCTGATTTCATTATTTATTTACTGATGCTAGCTGCTCTTGGTTGCAGGTGATCCTCTGGTGTCTGCAGCTGATCTCCTGCTGATGTCGTCGGGATCAGGAGCTTCCAGAAGAATGTGCCTTTCAATGACTCTTTCCCCCTTATTTGTTATATTAATTAAATAAATCTCAATTTATATATTTCCTGTTTTTGTTCATGTCCATAAATACTTAAACATGCTTGAAATTAAAATGAGCTTTTAACAGTGAGGTGCTAGTTTAATTCATCACAATAGAGCTAGTTAAACATGCAACAATGTGATAATCAATGTAATTTATAAATATCCATTAAAATATCAAAACTGGAATCAAAATGAGATATTCGGCAGCACAAAAAACTTGTCAAACACAATATTTATTATAATAATTGTAGGCAGACAGGAGACAGAGCTGATGGAGGTTCTCAGTCATCGAAGGATGGCTGAAGGCTTTCCAGGAACAGGAGATGTGGTGTTGTCTCTTCTCTCTCTATTCTGCCAGATGAGCTGGTAGGTTACAGGTGTGTGAGGACATCCTCATGCTGTCATAACCAGATAACATGAGTTATCAGGTGATCAGCCAGGCTAATGATGAGATGCAGAAAGAAAACAAATCATGCAGAAAGAAAACAAATCCAGGACAGTGTACAGTAATAAAAATAATATGTGGTGTTGCTTACCTTATGTACTCTTATAGAGTTATTAACGTGTGCCTGCCTCATGGTGTAGAGTCCATATTTTGCTGAGTGTCCTGCAGTAATGCAGGTTATTAGTTAATTTACTTTTGATAGCAAAAACAAAATATTTAAAAGTTATTTACCAGGTGAATCAGCTCACACGTCACCACCTGGTGGTGACCACCAAGTGTCACAGGGCCAGAATCAGTAGCCTCCGTCATGATGTAATCACATACTTATTTAATTGTTAATATCTTAAAAATTCAGAAATGTTTTAATTTTTTTTTACCTTGAACAGTTCACTGAGCTTGCACTGTCACTGAGGTGGAAGCTGGAATCAACAGCAGACACCTCACACCTTGGTCTTTTCAGGGGGTGTGGATGCTCTGGGACCTTCTGGAAGATGAATTTCTGTCATGGTCCCTGTGTCACAAGACACTGAGGCTGTGAGCTCTATAAAAACAAAGAAGCAGCACATTTATAAATGTTTAAAAGAGCATAAAATCACTTGTAACAATCTGTAAAACAAATTAAAAATAGAAGGTAATAAAATGTTTACATAGAAGATTATTAAAAATAATTCACCTTTGCTACGGGCAAGGCTTCACGTCAGCCTGGACAAGTGCATTCTTGCAGATTACTAAATCAGTCTGACAGCCAGTGTCTTGGGTAGATTTAGCCTGAAAAAAAAATAGAAGCACATTTATGTTTATAAAGTCAGATAAAATACAAAAAAAAATGTCCCATATAGGCGCTTTATAACATTCCTAGTGTGTGATGTTATTATAAAGTAAAAGTCAGTCACATATGATGTGGAGACCCTGAAATGCGACCTCCTGAACAGAATTCCTCACGGAACCGGGTCACGCTGTGCTAGATTTCACGCTGTAATGCTGTCTGTCAACTAGTGCTGCGTCAGTTTAGAGTCACTGTTGCTGAATTACCGACTGACACAAAAACAACCCGAATTTTCTCTGAGCCTGACAGTCATGTGGACCGTTTTGTCGGCCAGGGCTTCGAGATATGTTCCGATTCGCCGCTGATTCTAACCTTACATCCCGTTCCACATTTTGTGAACTTGACAAATCAGCCCGAAGGCAGTGCAGACTGATATTAGCTAAATGGAGTGAACCACGTCTCTCAAACTTTGCATTTAGGTAGGAAATTGTCTTTAGAAGATGTTAAAACTTTTATTTAGCTTACTCACCTCAGACTGTAGCCCGTCATGGTGGGGGAGCAGAGTCGGTGGTCTGTATCTAAATCGCGGAAGAGCCACGGTGGGCACAACCTCCCTCTTGGAACGGAGACGTGCAGAATCGCGGGTAAAATGCTGGTTGCAAACTACAGCACCAGGCGGGAGCTGAATCTTTTCCAGACACGCAACCACTGGTGCCTAATTTCTAAGTCCAGCGGAAAGGAGTGCAACCCGACAGAGCTCCGCAACCATACTACACTACACCATCTCACCATGCTAACACGATATGGAGCACTAAACCCGAACTACTTTCCTAATTACACTAACAGCCAAACAGTAACTAAACTACAATATCCAACAGTCAAGCTAACACTAAATAAGTATGTATAACACTAAAAGCTATGCTAAAGACTAGGATATGCTAATGCTATATGCTAATGCTGAACTACGGCTAGCCTCCTACACTCTCATGCAAATCCAACTCCCAACTCGCCACAAGGCGTGGCCGAGACTCCCGATGCTTTTATAACGTTGACACAGAGCTGCTACGTAGTACTCTACTGGATTACGTAGTATCTTACTCTTTAGCCATTGGCTAAAATTTATTCAAAATGAGTCAAATTCTATGTTTTAAGCTGAAGGTGGAGCTATACTGTGGTATTTAGGCAGAATTTTTAATTTTTTAAGAAAATGCACCAAAATGCTAAAATAATGAATACACACATTTAAAACACTATTAGACACTCATTTATACAGTTCATCAGCAAAAAAAAGTTAATTTAGACGTTACTTGCTCTTTAAGGTTCCCCGCAATGTCCTCGATCCTCCTGGTCACGGTTCGCCTGGACAGCGGGATTTGCTCAAATGCGCCTTTTTTCAGGGCATATTAGTGCGGCAGAGTCCACCACGCACTCTTTGACAAACTCTCCCTCCGAAAACGGCTTGCTGTTTTCAGCTATTTTGTGGGATATCACAAAGCTGGTCCTGGTTGCTGCATCCCTGGATGTGTGAAGCTTAGTAAAACAGCCTTGCTGCTTTTGCAACTTTGCTAGCAAAGCTTCGGATCTCCGTGCCCTCTCAGCATCAGATGAGTTCTTGTATTTTTCCGAGTGTTTCTGGTCATAATGCCGACTCAAATTGTAGTCCTTAAACACGGCAATCTCCTCCCCGCAAACCAAACACACGGCTTTACCTCCGACTTCAGTAAAAAAAATACTTAGCAGTCCAATTTTTGTTGAAAATCCTGCATTCGGCATCGTTCTTTTTTTTTTGCATGAGCGGACATTTCGGGGGCTACAATCACCATGTCAACCACAGCCACTTGTTGCTATACATATTGCGTCATTGTGCACGTAAAAAACAACTTCAAAATAAAAGCAATGCAACCTTAGTCCATGCATGAGGTAAAATGAGAAAATACATTTATTTTGTAATTTCCAAATAACCTTACGCGGGCCGGTCAAAGTCAACCAAAGGGCCGTATGTGGCCCGCGGGCCGTAAAATGCCCAGGTTTGTTCTAGGACTTTCTTTTTTGATGAATTCCAGGGTTAGCGTGGGTTATCCTAACTCATCCCTTTAGTTCTGCTGCTATATGCTCAGACTGCTAGAGGACATACTGACCATATTCCCTCACTCTGCTCTTTTAATGTAAAACACTGTTGATTGTGGTAAACGGTAAAGGTTTCATTTAGTTAAAAGGGACTTTTGCTTTCCGTAGTGCCCATTGTACATTACTTGTCTTGAATAGCGGGTTATGTTGAAGTGAAAATCCAATATTGTGTTGTTTTTGTTAAGCAGGTCAGCTCTTTTCACTAGTTGACATTCAAAATGGAAATGTATTGGATTGGAGTTGAATTGCACTGGACTTAATGCAATAAGCGTGGAGTCTGGACCTGTTTTGATATGAATTAGACTTCTAAATTGGATATAGATTGGATTTATTGCATTTAGTTGGGAATTTGTGCTCGATGGATTTGAAAAGATTGGTGACCTTTTTATGTGGTTTTAAAATGAGCCCAATATGACCAAAGAGGAGTTCTTAGTCTTGGCATAATTTCCCATAAAATTCTCATTCTGTTTGTATCAAAAACACTGTCTCTTTCCAGAGCTTGGACTTTGTGATTGGAACCTGTAAGAAGAAGATAAAATGGCAAAGTTAAAGGTTGAGCAGTTACAGTGCAGAAGGTGCAGTATCAGAAACACGCATTCAGAGGCTGTTTGATACACAACAATTTTCTATTTTTATTTAAAAGTCATTCGAGTTGGGGCACATTTCAGGTCATGAGGAAGCCAATTCCATCTGTGTGCAGCATAGGTCTGACTTTTATTTTAAACCTGACTCACACAGGCCTTATTGGTTATTCATCATGATTTGGTTGGTCTGGATCTTAAAGTCCTACATGATCTTGGCCCTGTCCCTCTCTATCACTTCTGATGGTGTCTCCAACTCTGACCTTGTGGCTTCAGGTCCATACTCAGCACAGATGTTGCTGCACACTATTCCAGCCACATTTGCTTTGCATGTGTGTGTCTTACACCCTGCTGCTATGGGTGGAGTGCTATATATATATATATATATATATATATATATATATATATATATATATATATATATATAAATATATATATATAGCATCAGCCATGTCCTTTATTCTGCTGGGAGTATGAGCCATGCAAGAATTTCTATTGCAGATGTCATCCAGTGTCATTGTGCAATTACAATACACTGTGTGCATCAACATGTGTTGCACACACCCTGTACAAAAGGGAGCGGGGGCATGCATCATCTGTGTAGGTGTTAAAAAGGACTGGTGAGTCTTGCATGGTAATGAGAAAAAGGATACTAATTCTTTCATTTGATGTTCTGTAATTATGGTGTCCAGGGCCCAGCCTGGCATGCTGGTCAGATTTATGTTCTCTTTCACAATGAAAGTGTGCAAGTGTGTCTCCATGTGTGCAGGGGACACAATGAAAGAAGCGAAGAAAAGCTGAAAGGACTGGATGGGGGGACGAGTGAGTGAGAGATACATTTTCTGAGTGTTATAAAACAGTCTTCTGTCTTAAATCACAGGTTTTGCTCCAGTGGTAGTAGATTGTGATTACAATGATATAAGACGCTGGGCGCATACATTTACTGTACAGCTTCTCAATGACAAATTCACCTTGTTGGAATTCAAACATCATCGATTTTAGCGTTAAAGAAGTGGAAGTATATGGTTCCTTACTGCAGCTAGGATTTGTGTTTTCCTCCCCTGCTGATTGATTTTCATCTAAAGCAAAAACAGGTTTTAATCCAGAACAAAACTTAAGATCACAATTGTTGCTTTTGGTCAATGATCTGGTCCACGGCTGGCTGCAGCTCAGTCGAAACCAGTCGGGACCACCCTGGCTCTTGTCCTCAAAGGGGAAAGCCGATTGGTTAGCACTTCATCTACGGCAACTCAGTTCAAGTTTAACAGCAATTCAGTCAATCTACGATACCCTCACCTACGGTCACGCTATTTGGGTAGTGACTGAAAGAACGAGATTGCGGGTACAAGCAGCTGAAATGAGTTTTCCCCGCAGGGTGGGTAGGCTCTCCCTTAGAGAGAGGGTGAGAAGTTCAGTCATCCGGGAGGGGCTCGGAGTAGATCCACTGCTCCTCAACATCGAACCAGACATTTGCATTTCAAGAGGAAGTGAGAGAGCGCTAAACACTAGTCATTGTTTATAGGTCCAAACGTTTTTGTTGTCTGTGACTTCAAACAGTGTTTTTCTTTTTGGGACTCTGGTAGTTGGTCCTAAAGTTGAAGTGGTAGCAGTTGGCTGTTTCTCCTTCTCAGATATTATTGAGCAGAGAACCTCTCACACCAGTGGTGTTCCGTTGCTAAATGTGTGAGTGCATAATGAGTGAAGGACCCTGGGAACTGCGGCTGCTTTCGGTGTGAAATGTGTAATTGGCGGATGTTTTAGACAAACGCGACACAGCCACTTCATTATTTTTTCTCTTTTATTATCTCCACAGTGTATCTGTAGCTATTCTATGTCCAATTGTTGTTAAGAGGCATGCAAAATGTTTGAACCAAATTTGTTTTCCACATTTGCCATTTGCAGCTTTAAGCTAATTCAGACAAAGGATGTATTAGCATCTTCTGTAACAGTGTATGGCGGACTGCACAGTTGAGCGACACCCATAGCGGTAAGCACGTCACATAGTTTGTTGACCAGCAGCATACGGAGACAGTTTGAAAGACAAACATTGATTCCATCCTGTCAAGCCGTCAATGAGTCATGGCCAGATTACATATTCACATATGGCTTGCCAGGCTAGCATGGTGCCACAGTTGGTAGCGTTGCTGCCTTGCATTTGCAAAATTGTGATTTCTAAACCTGGCTGCAGCTTTTCTACATGGAAGTAATGTTATTCTCCAGGTACAATGGTTTCCTCCCATAGGCCAAAAAATGCATGTTATGTTAATTGGCAACTCTGCATTGTCACTAGGTGTGTGTGACTGATTCTCTCTTTTGTGGCCTTTAGATGGGCCAGCAACCCACAATTCAATTCAATTCAATTCAATTCAAGTTTATTTATATAGCGCCAAATCACGACAAGAGTCGTCTCAAGGCACTTCACATAATAAACATTCCAATTAAGGTCAGTTCATTAAGCCAATCAGAAATAATGTTTCCTATATAAGGAACCCAGCAAATTGCATCAAGTCACTGACTAGTGTCAGTGACTTTACAGCAATCCACCACTACATTTTGTCTGATGACTGCTGGAGAAATGTAACCCTAGAAGATGAATACATGAAAAATTTAAATCACTTTAATCAGAATCATAAACACCAACATTTATAAAACTTGGGAGATCATAATAAAGTGTAAAGGAAAACTGGAAGTAACTCCAGGTCACAGTAATTAATCAGATCAGAATATTTTCTTATTTGAGTTAAAACATTTTAAGCAACCTGATTAGGTCCTGTTGAGGGTTACTTTAATGTTGAATTATTTAATTTTTCTTAAAAAGCTGCAATGTGGACCTGCTGCTTTAAGAATGTCATTTAGCAGAGTGTCTGAATGGGTCTAACCCACTGACCTGTGGAGGTGTAACCTCCCTTCCTCACTAACATTTTAGTAGCCACAGCAACCTCCGCTAGCTCCAGTTGTGTGGGTTCACAGCAGGGCTAACCAGGGTGCTCCCAGGAACCCAATCAGATGCCCACATGCCTGTTCTAAAAATAGCTCTATTCACCAATGAGAAAAGTGTAAAACGGCATTTTTATGTTAATGGTTTTTATCACACTCACAAATATGTAGATTTTTTAATGAAAAAAGCATTAAAATATGTTTATCAAGTCTTTCATGAATAAATGTGGTTTCATGGCACCCATTTAGCTCATTTAATTAATGTGAGTGTGGTGATAAAAAACAAAAAAATAAAAACTAAACCAAGAACCGTAAAGGCTGTCCTTTGGTGTCCTTAATGACTGGCCACTGTTGGAATTGTAAACTATCACCCTGGTGACCCAGCCGACCTTTAACCCTTTTTAAGATGATTTATTGCAAATGCTCACTCCTTTTAATTATCCCTGCAGCTAGGTGTCCAACAGTTTTGTAAGGCCATTACAGAAAATCAATACTCAGCTTTTAGGTGATGAATTAATAAATGAAGTGTGAAGTTTACCTTGAGTGAGGGTCTATTGATGTTGAGGAAAGAGACAGAGGCTGAGAGGCTAACAGAAAAAATAGAGATGTGCTCGATGTGGCTGCTAATGACTCAGTAGCAGTTGGCTCAGAGCATTTTAGCTCTGTGT